TGCGAATGGTAATTGAGATCGTTAAAAGAGATTTGGCGTTAAACAGATTAAAAAAAATAATTAAGGTATTCTAATAATAAAAATACATGGCATACTTACCATTTGACTTGCTAGTGCATTCATTTCGAATAAATAATTTCCATGCCCATCGACACAGTCAGGCACTTTTTTAGCACTGTTCATTCCCCGAGATGCAAGAATGAAAGTGATGAGGCTCAAAGATGTGGGCTCGTTTTCTATCTGCCAATTTTTAAAAAATATCACGGACAACTAGAGCAGTTTCATACGTGTACGTGTTTACTTCAGCAAGTTCTCACTATTTTATAAAAGGACTCATAAATATTAAATAGCTCCTCCCCCACACACACTCCCCTTTTTCAGTCCGAATTATCATAATATAAACAAAGTGTCACGGAGAACTATAACTTTTTGATGGATGTACGTGTTTATTTTTGCGAGTTCGCTTTATTGTATAACGCGAGTGGCAAGTAAAGATTAGTAGCATAGGCGCCGGAAGTGGGGGGTGGGGGGGGGGGCAAAACGCATTTTGCCCCCCCCCCCAAAAAAAAGGCCCCTTCCCTCCAAAAAAACAAAAAAACACTAAAGGAGTAAAGATGGTTTGTATTTTAAACCCCAAAGAACAGAACAATAATACAAATCTGAATTAAATCACATATAAAATTCCATTCAAAGAAAAGGAAAGTTAACAGAAATTAAATTTCCTAAACATTGCGCATGCCACATATATTTATCAATGGAGGTTTTTTCATAATAGCGATACGCGCATATCGTGGATATATTGTGAGAGAATGGGAAAGCGTGTGTGATTTTTTTGTTATAGGGGTGAGAAGACATGAGCCCCTGAACGCTGGCGTACTGAGTGGGAGGGGGGTATTTCTTATTCGATGCCAGTGATTTACAAATGTTACTGGTATGACATGATTTTCCGGTATTTTTTTTCCGGTAAGTCATACTTTTTTATGCATTCGTTGAAAAATTAGAAATTCCCAAATTTTCTGTCGGGCAAAAAATATGCTTATTTAGAAGGCTTTATGTCATGGTCTGCAAAACGGCTGGGCTCGGGGGCTCGAGCCCCCATAACTTTTTGAAAAAGTATGTTACAAAGAAAAAGAAAGAAAGAGAGAGAGAAAAATAAGTGACATGCCAATGTCACAAATGAGGTATCAAAATATGCTCATCTGACCGTAATTAAATACCTAAAACCCCCGAGCTTCTGGGGGCTCTGCCCCCTTCACCCAACCAAAGGCCCTATGGCGGTCCCCTGGATGCTCATTTGACCGTAATTAAATACCTAAAACCCCAGAGCTTCCGGGGGCTCTGCCCCCTTAACCCCACCAAGGGCCCTAAGGCGGTCCCGTGGATGCTCATCTGACCGTATTTAAATACATAAAACCCCAGAGCTTCCGGGGGTTCTGCCCCCTGGACCCCACCAAGGGCCCTAAGGCGGGCCCCTGGATGCTCATCTGACCATAATTAAATACATAAAATCCCAGAGCTTCCAGAGGCTCTGCCCCCTCGGCCCCACCAAGGGCCCTACGGCGGACCCCTGGATGCACATCCGACCATAATTAAATACAGAAAACCCCTGAGCTTCCGGGGGCTCTGCCCCCTGGGCCCTACCAAGGGCCCTTTGGCGGGCCCAGGATGCTCATCTGACCGTAATTAATTACCTAAAACCCCTGAGCTTCCGGGGGCTCTGCCCCCCTGGACCCTACCAAGGGCCCTAAGGCGGCCCCTGGATGCTCATCTGACCGTAATTAAATACCTAAAACCCCTGAGCCTCCGGGGACTCGTCTCCCTGGACACTCCACCAATTAGTGGCCTGCTAGTGTCACAAATAAGGTATCTAAATATGCTTATCTGACCGTAATTTAATGCCTAAAAACCCTGAGCTTTCGGGGTTTACGCTCTACCTGATCGTTAATACTCCACTTTGAAAAACGTTCCGCGGGGCCTGCATGTAACGTGTAAGAGTGGTGGTGATGCACATTCTGTACCCCCACCCCACGCTTCCAAACGTTTTTGCTCAGTACGTCACTGCCCCTGGAAGGTGAGCCCCCTGGAATGTCCCCCCCCCCCCCCCCAATCCCAAACTGCTTCCGGCGTGCCTGATTAGTAGACAGTTTAAATGTATGCTTGTAAAAAGAGCAAACTGCGAACAAATTCTGTACCCAGTTTCTCTATTTTCTATTAAGGGGCCTACTTTAATAATCAAATCTTCCAAAAAAGTGGCAAAACAGAATTCATGACCTCGACATGATTCGCGAATTCGGCGGCTGAAAGAAGAAAAGTCAAGTAATATTGACAGTGCTACAAAACATAAAACGGCTCGTTAAATCTAATGAAGAAAACGTGAAAGGTGACACAAGATGTTTTAATCTTTCCGACATGAAATTGCCCCTAAAGCTACGCCACTCTCTATACACACCAGACAATCTGTTTTCCCTGATATGGTGTCATAAGAAAAGTAATCATGTTTGGTAATAACGGGCATTTTATAGCCAACTAATCAGGTACCTAGTGTATGAATGGCGTCCATCAGATGGTTTCTATAGGACCAACAAACTACCGCCTGTACTTCCAATCATCATCATATAGGTCATTCAGAGTGATCCTCCAGGGAGCAAGTGGTATTGCGTCAAGGTGCAAAAGCCATGCATTTTCTGATTATTATGGCGTCACTGAATTAGCCTAGCAGAAGATTTCTGCAGTAGGACGACCTCGTTAATAATTGATTGAACAGTGTGTTAAATGGCGAAGTTGCCAAACACAATGCATGTTTCTGTAAATTTCATGTTCAACATGAATTTCCTTTTTTTCCTGGTCTATTCTCCTCTTCCTTTCTTTATATTGTTTTTTTTTGTCATACAAGGGCTGCGTACTTGACACATCTTCATGCTTAATCCCCTTCTCCCTTGTGTTACTATGGCATTCAATTTATTGATGTAATGGTGTATACTTTCTATCATTTGGGTAGTTTATAATATAAACATCTGGAAGAAAATGAATTTGAATTTGAACACTGGCAAAAGTTTTAGAATAGTATTTCCGCATTATAACATGTGTATTGGCATTTTATATCGTCTACGTAAATAAATTACATCGTTGGGTGGAATGCAGGAAATGTCATTGACTCGAAGTTTAATGCCGAAAAGCGGGAGGCCCATCGCTTGTACCAATCAATTTTAAGAGTGGTGTGGTATATAAATGCCATTATAATTATCAGGTAAGCTTCCGCATCGCATCACTTTCAGGTCGAGTCTGAATAACAAGTACCCTTTGACTTTATTTCCTATGACTATACATACTGTATATAGCGTCTCGAATAAGCCTACTTTTGTAAATACATGTAAGATATAGTTTAAGATTATCACAATGCATAATAGTGAGACAGACGGTTAGTGTATTATGACTCGGAAGATGACCCTGTTTCTTTTTTTCTTCCATTTTAATCAATGTATAATTTTTCTTAAATGATCGTAATGTTATTTGATTTTTAAATATCCCGTTTTTCTCTGTATAGGTTCATTTTTAATGTTACGTGATTATTTAACCATTGCCTAAATGTATTGTATGATAGTTTTTGCTTTGTAATTTCCATTCTTTCGATCCCTTTATTTTTTTAAACTTCCTTAAGAATAGGCAAGTTTGATAGTGACTAGTTGTGATATAATAGCGATAGCCATATAATTTATTTCATTTATATTTAATAAAAACGATAAAAATGAAAAAAAAATAATAACAATAACTAGCACTTGGTACGTTCTACATAATTATAGTTAAACTGCATCACAGCGTTTAGGGAGATGTGAGTTGGTCTAGTGGCACGTTCACTTGGTCAGCTCTCCGTCTTCGCCTACAGGCTGGCTCAGACGACCCCAGTTTGAATCTGAGTCACGTCTTTCGGATGGTGACGTTAAAGGTCGGTCCCCAGACGTAAATAATCATATCTGATTGATAATTTTTTTCTTTTTTTCCCCTTTTTTTTTGTTTAAGATATTTTATATTATTTTCTCACAAATCAAATACATATGGTACAAATCATTCTTAACAAAAGTGGTATGTACATTGATATTTGGATTAAACATAAATTGCAATCATAAAAAGAAAACAAAAGTACATTTTCATAAGTATAATCAAGAATATTAAAGTAAACTTGAGATAAATGTATTGTCTATTCTCCCATTCCCTCCCCCGTTAAACATACACCCAACACCTTCAACCACACACTACTGTAAAAACCCAATTACACACACACACACACACACACACGCACACAAACAAAAAAGTTTAATTAAATGAATTCTATTGAATTAAAGATAAAGTTGAGTTCTGGTCATGCGATTGCATTGTGAAAGAAACAGTGTGGAGTCGATTAACAAAGGTTGATCATCCAGCAAATAAGTATTGGTGTGTACTGCAAGCTTCTGGAATTATCAAAATTATAAGAAATTTCGCCCAGTCTTGGTAAAGTTACAAGCACTGTACACAGGAATAGGTATATGGTACAACACAAACATGTGGCATAAAAATTCGTCCCGATTTTATGCTGTTTCATGCCATATTTAGAATATTAAGCCATTGAAGAGCCATGCTTTTCAGGGAATTTTTTTAATCTGATGTTCTTCAACACTTGCATAATAACAATGATGACGCTCACAAATTATTTTTCACCTCTTCCCAGAACTCAACTTTCTCTTTAAACTTAAATTAGATATGTTAAAACGAATGAATGAAAAGGAGGATGGCTATTCTGAGAAGAAATATATTTCAAGACTTTCATGAATGGGTCTGTGATTAAATTTACATTGAAACTACTCTGCATGGCATTTCTAACGTTGCGCACTATAATGGTGAACCAATTACTTTTTTTCTTCATCACCCGCACGAGACATCCCATATGGGCGGGTCGCGTTCCACTCTGACTGATGTCATCGAGGGATGCACGCATCCAAGCCAGCGAATACGTCTCATCTAGATCCCGCGCTTTCGATGTTACATCAAAATGATCAGACGGTCAATCAGGAGTCGGGATGCTTATGGAACCAAGTTTCTACCGGGCATAAAAGTAGTGGGAGAAGGGATACCATCTTAATGAAAGAGTAGCAAACATATGCAGTGGGTGATTTTCTTCGTTGCGGAGAGAGTTCATCAAGGAAATTGCCAGGAATTTACAATTCATGCGATGGGGAACTATATTCGTTAGGTGAAATACGTGAGGTCATCGAGGGCGAGAGAACGCATATTTTCTACTTGACATGTTTTCTTTTTTTTTTACTGAAGCTGATTACTGCTTGACAACTTTATTGGAGACAGAACTGACGAACTGAACTTCTTAGTTTTTTTAACTTCAACATGTGCAGTGTCTTTCTAAGCAAATCTGAAGACGAACCGTCGGAATAAAGAGCGGATCAAACACATATTGTTTAGCTTTTTAAGTGATCATAATTCATTCACAGAAAATTTTTGAAGCACACGAATAATCATGAGCAACAACAATTCCCGGTTTCCATTTTTTCAGCGGCTGAACATACGTATCAATTCCAGCATCGCCAATACCTTCCACGGGGCTCGTGCCGACTCCGTAGCATGGCGTCGCCAGAACTTTGGCCACCAAACCAACCCGATGTACAACCACATCTACTTGGGTGGGATTGGGACCCTGCTGGACCACTACGAGCAAAGGGAGAGCGATGAGGCCTTCCAAAAACTACTGGTCAGGCGGTTCGAGAGGATGTTGTATAACAGGGGCGCTGGGAAGATACTCACGAAGCAGGAGTATGCAAGGTTCTGGAAGACGCTGAGGAATGCCGATTCCGTAAGTTCCCGAATCATTTTGTCTTTATTTCACTTCATTCATTCTCAACATCGTTATTGAGGGGAATTTCTGTTCTCAAGTCAAGGCTTTATACTTAACCTGCACTGTTTCATTATTTGAGTGTTTAATCCGTGCTTGGGGTTTCAAACAAAAATACTATCACATTTTAAATTGCTATGTTCAACCGAGGCTTTAAAAGAAATGATATACCATTACCAAGTAGACTACATCATTTAGATCAACATATATAATGCACAACCTCTGCTCAGAGTTTTTATAAATATTATTAATTCAAAAAGAAATAATGTGGGCCCGAAGGTTTCATGGGGGTTATATACTAGAAAAAAAACAGACGAGATAAATATACCATAGATGATGGTAAATACATTTTCAGCAGGGGGGGGGGGAGCAGCACCATTATAGTGAGCCGAGTAATTTTTTATAGTTTAAAGATGATTCCTTGCGCGGTACAGGCATCCATCATCTGATTTATGTGGATGATTAAAGTAATCATCATCATTATGGTCATTTCCAGTAAACCTCCAGAGTGCAAATGGTGTCGAATCAAGTAGCAAAGCCATGTATGTGTTGATTAATTACTGTGACGTATTATGGGCTCTGGAAACAGGACAGATAATATTGAAGTTAAAAATAATTTGTTCACTTTCTGTAATGCATAATATCATGAAACATCTTCTGAATAGCAGGATGAATCAAAGAATGTATTTCGATGTTTTAAAGAGGAAATTGTGAAAGTTGAATATAAGTTAATTGAACTATAGGATTATTTCGGAAAAAGGAATAATCTGTGTGTTTTTATTTTTTCAAAGCAAAAAATGCCCTATGCGGTGCATGTCGTGGATAAAAACACTTATCGCGTTCCTGTGCCATTACTATTCTCACGAGTGTACTCGAATGGTGCAAGCCTAATCGTCTGACTTGCCTATCAATTAAGACCACTTTTCTACCCTTTAAATGGTCAGCTCTAAGTGGAGTCCAATTAAGAGGCTATACACCGCTCATATCCAAAATGGAGAGGCACCGGTGTGTTCGCTTCGACACAACCGAGTGAGTTTCCTACTTATTGTGATTACCTCAGCAATGCCTTGTTAAACCCAGGACAGGGTTAAAACAAACAGAACCTCTTAGTAATAACTGTCAAGTAATTATTAATGCATTATCCACTGAATTTAGGGGATGTCATGGTCGCTATTATAGTAATGAAGAAATATAAAGTGCATGAGAGGTTGGCAGTGGCGTAATGAGCAAAAACTGGGGGGGGGGGGGGGGAGGCAGAACAAAATCCGCATCATCAACTTCACTCTTACATGTTATACATGCAGGCCTCGCGGAACATTTTTTCAAAGTGGGGGGGGGGGGGGCTAAAGTATTTACGATCAGGTAGATCAAAGCGAGCGAATCAAGTGGAGCGTAATTTGGCGTGGGGTCCATGGGCAAAGCTCAGGTAGGGGGTCAAGTGGCGGACCCCCATTAAGCTCAGGGGTTTTAGGCATTTAATCACGGTCATATGAGTATTTGGGCCCGCCTTAGGGCCCATGGTGGGGTACAGGGGGCAGAGCCCCCGGAAGCCCAGGGAAAAATCAAGTCATTTCAGCATCATTTGTAAATCACTGGTATCGAATTAGAAATAAACCACGTTAGCATTGTGTTTTTTTTTGTTGGGGGAGGGGTAGGAGCCCCTAAAAGTACGCCAGTAGAGGTTGCAGCAATGCCAAATACCCACAAGGTCATAATTACAAAACTAAAACATTCCGAAATACACTGCTGTTCATATCTTTTCAAAACTTTTCTGATCAATAAAGACTGATAAAGTTCTGGGAAGATGTTAACGATATTTTTGTTATCAAGAAAAAATCATATTGTCACAATTATTTCATGAAATGAGGTAAGAAAAATTATTCACATTTTATGGGCAACAGTCTAAGACAATTTTTTCTTCTTCTACTTTGTAAAATGTTAATAGCAAAATCGACCGCATTAGAAGTATCATTTGTAAAGGAATTAGACGATAAATCATTTTTTGCCAGATACAAATATTTGAATGACATCGTTTGTCCTCTTCCCTCTTTTGCATGAAGATCCACTTAGGACTATAAATTCCAACGGGATAGCACTTATTGCTAATGTCGATTTTTTTTTTCTTTCTTCTTCCCCACATACAATCGGGTCAGTCTGGTACCTAACTAACGGTGCATTCTCGTAAAACTAATATATAAGATACCAATTAATGTGATTCGTCTGTTGCCTGAAGCTCCACTGCCAAATATATACAATAATTCGATCCCGATAGAGTAATCCTGTATAATTGTGGACAGAGTGAGTGAGAGATTTACATTTTATTGTAAAAATGTTTTCACATCTGGGTTAGATCAATCTCACAGAATGAAGAAAACTTAGTGGAAACAAGCCAATTCATATGTCGTTTTCAATGATTCACGTATTTTCGTTCATTCAATTTCGTAGCGACGACGATTCATTTGCTGAATACAAATTGAGCTTCCGGATAGAGCTCGTTTTCCTTTTCTCCCATCACACAGATGTCTCCTGTCTGTCTCTGTCAGTCTCTCTCTATCTGGCATGGCATACACTCTTACCTTTTCACTGCATCTCTCTGTCTCTGTCTCTGTCTCTCTCTTTCTCTCTCTCTCTCTATCTCTCTATTTCTCTCTCCCTTTCTCTCTCTCTCTCTCTATTTCTCTCATTCTCTCTCTCTCTTGTTTTCCAGTATCTATAATATTCTAGTTCACTCTTAATTTATCTCATTTCATCTTTTTATATAATTCTGTCTTACTAGTTCCATCCCTCTCTCTCTCTCTCTCTCTTCCCTCCCCCTTTCCCATCTCCCTCATCTTTCTCTCTTTCTCTCTCTCTCTCTCTCTCTCTCATGATTGTAAGAGCCCAGATACTCTTCAATATGTAAAACATCTTCTTAAATTTTGCGTTAATTCAAAAAGGTCAAATCTTACCCTGCTATAGCATTGCAAGTGGAGAGCTCTGTAAACACTTTTAAGTCAAGTGAACAGGTATATACGATTACGTTTAGATCTAGTGATTAGAAGTGAAGTAACATTCTTTTTTACGTTTTGACATCGAATCCTCACTAAATTCGTAAATCGGAGAGATTTGCAATTAAAATCCATGTTATTCTTTTTGTTTAAAAATCTAATATGTACGAAATATAAAAAGCGGAATGTCGCCTTAAGAAAAAGATTACAAGCTCAGCGCTTTAGTCATAAAACAAAATTAAATATGGGGAAAGCAACATAAATGTGTTGGGTCCATTTCGAGTATTACGTCTCAGATCGATCATCCGATCAGCCTTTCATTTATTCATCAATTCACTTATTCATGAAACAAAAAGTATTGATTGTCATGATAAGCTAGGCATTGTTTAACATACATCATTTTGTTCTTTCTCCCATCCATCATGAACGTCCATTTGATCCCTCATGTATTTGTGTAAGCTTTGCCGTGCTTGTATATATTATAATGAGCATTGGATTTCCCTCCGTACACTTACATCATGGTTTACATGAAGTTTGGGTGAGTGTTCGACCAATTGTGGTCATTTTAACCTACTCAAAGGCAATAGAGATGCCATGTTCAAGTAGACCTATCTCTTGAAGAGATGTACTCGCATGCTGCCTGATCTATCTTGGGCAAACTGAAGGTATACATTACATACTATTCGGTTGGTACGATTGTTGATGTGAGGGCTTTTAAATCGACAGTAGTTTATCCATTTAAGCATAATCTATAGAACACAATATAATTTATTTCTCTTATCGGATATGATATAAGACTTTGTTCAAAGGAAAGCAAAGACTTATGCGATACAATTGGTATTGGTAATTGGTAATTCTAATATTTAGCAACGAATTGGAATATCAGTAAAAGCTCAATAGATTAACTCTTCGGAAATTTCGAGTTTCCGTCCTGCATATTGCTCCGGTTGTCTCATTTTCGCTCGCTGGAACATTGCCAGCACAAACCACGGACATGGGTCCCACTTTTAACAAAAAATTCCATTAAAAATGGGTCCGTTTTTTCAAAATTTCCAAAATTTGCAGAATTTCTGGTGTTTGCCATGCAAACACCCCCCAAAACACTTAAACGATGTGAAAAATGGGTCTGTTTTCGAGAAAAATTACCCCTAATAATGGGTAGGGGTTTCGAGGCTTGAGCGGCACATCCCCGTCCTAACCAAATCTGAGTATTCTCCCCCCCCCCCCCCGCATTAGATGATGAAGTTTACTCGAATAATGGGAAAGCATGTAACCCTTTTACTTGGAGTGTCGCATGTGATTTTGATGCTGTTCTTTACAACCTAATTTCTTATCAACAGTGTGCCTACGGTCCGTTTATGTGTACGGCTAGACTTGAGATCTTTAAAGGTACAGGACGACCTAACAGAAAATTGGAATATGTAGAAATTGAAGTAAAACAAAGTAAACAATAATGTCATGTATGTAATGTTGAATGACGATTTACAAAACAATGGACACAGAGCTCTAGAAACCTTGGGTTTGAAAGGTTAAAACATTATCTCTTAAAACAAAGCCGATAAATAATAACATTCGGTATAATCATCTTCAGGGATACCTAACTCATGACGGATTAATCATTACGTTGTCATCTTTATAACCAAGAATACACTTGAATTTGGATAACTAGGTAAATAGAGCCGGTAACGAATGCTTTGGCGCACTAGGATATTAATGCTTTGTGTGAAACATGTATTTCAAGGTATTTTAACAAAATACATCTTCCTAAATTATGAGTAATGTCGAACACCTTGCAACCTGCAATCCTCAAACATGAGCATGATCAGGTAACCATGCATTATCACTTTAGATAAAAATCATAAACATAAATGGTTATTGACACCAAGGGATTTACTACTCCTAAGAGTTGATCAACGTTATCCTGTTAAAAGATGTTTTAATAAATAAATAAATAAATACTATGTCTTTATTTAC